AAAAATATGCCTCCAACTTTGGTTAAACAAAGCTCAATCCATATCCTACGGATACGGGACATGAACGCAACACAACACGAACACGCGTCAGACACGTCCTTATAATAAAAACTATATATATATATATATATAAAGAATACTAAAAAAATAAGAAAGTTAATAGCATTATCTTTAATAAGATGACCGTAACGTAAAATACCAGTCCATGTGAGCGATTTACAAACCGCTCGAGCTCATTTGCAAGAAAAGAAATCCACAAATAATTTTGCCATGTAGGTTTAAACTTCAAATATAAAACAATTTTTTTATAAAATTATATTTATAAAAATACATCATAGGTGTTCAAATATAATTTTTTAGATATTTAAAATTTACTAATTTAAAACATCCTTTTTTTTATTTTAATATTATTAGATTAGACACATGAGGGATGTCCCTACACATATCCGGAGAGTGTCGAGCAAGTATCCGCGAAGTGTCCTACACTACACGACTTACAAATATCCATACATCATAATCTATACATTAATTTCATCGTTCAAGGATATCATCTTAAATCACTCATTGTGATACTATATATGATCAATAAACTCTGACCAAACCTTGACCTCCATTAGACAACCATATACACTTAATGAGCTAAGCCTAGATCAGACGTTTGACCAAAACCTAACATCAGATTTTACAAAAATAATTTGCACAATTTAACAAACTAAAGCATGAAACATTCTTCGAGACCACCACAATTTGTAAAAAACCTATTGTTTGTGCAAAAAAATCATAATTTTATCCCTTACAAAAATACATAACAATTTGCTGCCACAAATTACTGCTGTCAGGTGCCAAAATAATCTCAAATTTAGCTGTGCTCTCACCAAAACATTGGAACCAGTTCTAGAGATTATACATGTCAAACACTGAAACAACAAATATATTTGAGCCAATGCCTTCAACCTATTTAGGTGAGGCCGCACATACAAGAAAATAGAGGCCTAAGAATTATATACCACAAATAACCAGGCATATATATTTTAGTAAAAATAAGAAGCCTACTAGTCTTTTAGAGGTGGGAGATCTGCTAGTAGAGATTTACCTGGAGAAACACCATCGAGATGGCCCCTGCTGACTTGGCTTGTAAAATAGGAAAAATGATGGGTCTTCCTCGTAAGATTCCTTGTACATTTCCAGTTTTGGTACGATCTCATCAAAGTGTGGTCTCTTATTAGGATTGGAGTCCCAGCATTGCTTTATGAGATGTTTAAACGCCAGGGGGGAACAAGGGGGCAGAGGTGGCCTCATATTCTGCATTGAAAAAAAAAAGGAAGATTTACGTACATACCATTCAATTCCTATGAATTTACATATATAACACGTAAGCGTCAATTTATACATACATATCACCATACAGATGCATGAGAAGGTGCATTTCAGTTTTCAAAAGTTGAAATGGTGGTATTTTTGAAATTCAGTTTTTAAAAGTTAAAATGGTGGTATTTTTGAAATGGTGTGAAGGATTTGTGTGGTATATGTATAAAATGTATAGTTTGGGTGCAAATGCAAATGTAAATACATTGGAATTGAGTAGTATGTACGCAAATGCACCTAAAAAAAGGTGGATTAATGTTCTGATAAGGAGACGTGAGCGGCAATGAGGATTAGATAGTTTCAGGGGTGACATCAAATCATTTTAATTTCACTCTTAGCTTTAGCATTGAAAAAGATTTCGAGTAATAAATGAAAGGAAAATTTACATACACACCACACACTTCTTATATATATACATATCTAACACCCAATGTTTGATATTTACATTCGTAACACTTTGGTGTCATAAAACTATGCATGAAAAAGTGTATTTCATTTTTAAGAAGATAGTCATGGTGAAATTTTTGATTTGATGTTAAGAGTGGTATGCATGTAAATATGAATGTTTAGGTGTTATAAATGTATAAATAAGAATTGTGTGGTATCTATGCAAATGGACCCAAATGAAAGTAGGAGTAGATTATCTCAGTTTCAATTTGATCATGGTGGAAAAAATAAGACTTATGATGCCACCAACCTCTTTTTATCACTGGTGTTGCTAGTAAAGAAAGATGAAAAATGACGGTTTTGTGTGGACTATAGAGCGCCAAATCAAGGACTACACAGCACCCAATCAGCTAAATGCACCTTAATATTTTCTGATTTCAAACATCGATGAAATGCTCGATGAGCAATAATGGTGCAACTAACTTCTCCAAATTTAATTTACGAGTTGGATATCATTGAACGCACAAGGCTGAATTGAATCTTGCACATGAACACTACAAGTTCAATACAATGCCCGCTGAGCAGACTAATGTGACATCAACCTTTCAAATCAATTAAATAACATTTTAAAGAAATACAGGAAAATTTTTGCTTGTTTTTATGATAGCCAGAATTCTCACTCATCGAGATATTGTCCACTTTGTGCTAATGGACTCACAGTTTTATCCCATTGGTCTAACTTACCATTAAGTCACCCATCATAAGAGCGCTCCCACACTAACAAGCTTAATTTTGAATTTTCTAATGAAACTCCAAAAAATACACCAAAAGTCACATCGATGTTTAAGAGGATAGCTTCATTCTATTTCACAATCTTCCCCACTCAAGTAACTGACGTCCTCGTTAATTTTCTTAACCCAGAATCGTCCAGTATACAGGTATTCTCATATTTATGATGGAGTAATGCTTTGATACAATTTGCAACAACCTCAACTCTCACTTATCGAGTTATTGTCCGTTTTGGCCTGATGGCCTAACGATTTTGTCTCATTGGTGTAACTTCCTAAGTCATCCATCCTAGGAGTGCTCTCATATGAGCATGCTCAACTTTAAAGTTTCTGATAAAACTCGAACAATTATAACAAAAGGCACCTGGACATTTAAGAAGTGGTATATATGTAAAAATTGAAATTTAGGTGTTTTGGGTAGGTTTTGATTCAGTTTTCTATCAAGACAGTAGTCGTCAGCATCCGGGTTTTCCATTCTAGGATTGTATCCAAAGACAAGAAGGTGATCCGGTTGTAGCTCATCCTGAGGTCGAGTTTATTTGTCGTTCCCTACTTCCCGCAGCCTCCCCTCCGCTGTCTCCATTGTCTTATTTGTTGCCTACATTCGGAAAATAATCTCTTCACAGTTTTCTGCATCCACCCATCCCTTCTCATCACTTCTCGCTTATTGTTGCCCCTTCCAGCCACCTCCCATCTCTTTCAACCATTGTCCTTGCTGTCGTGAGCCTCCTACAATCCTTCCATCACCCTATCACAATCTTCCTGGTGCAACCATTGCCCGACAACTTTATTGTCGCCCATCTTCTGGCCACCTATCACCATCGGTATTGTGACTACTGCCTTCCATTGTCGACTTAAGAAAACTCTCCTCCTTTGTATGTTTGGGTAGAGAGAGATTCAAACCAAAACAGATTGGAAGATGGAGGTTGAGGATTCCACTTAACACTTGTTAAGATTTGAGCTTGCATGGAGTGGTGATTTGGAGAGAGAACTGACAGATTGGAAGATGGAGGTTGAGGATTCCACTTAAGAACTACACTTGTTAAGATTTGAGCTTGCATGGTGGTGATTTGGAGAGAGAACTCGAGAACTGGTTAGTAGACATCTGGTGAGAGTATTTTACCAACATACTGAGAGTTAAGATAGAGAGAACATTGGTTATGAGAGAAAAAATTGGTAAGGTTTTAATTCAAACTTAGACGGAAATGGATTAATCTTAAACTAAATACCTAGCACAGGTGAATTTATCAAAAATACAAAATGTGATAAGATCATGATATGTTCTCTGATTATCTTAGTTATATTTATTTGATAAACTATAGAAGACATATATAATTAGAGCATTTATATACATACTACCCAATTTCTATGTATTTACATATCTAACGCCTAAACTTTGATTTTTACATTTGTACCACCCAAATCTTACATATCATATAAAAAACAACACCATTTTACCTTTAAAAAAGTGAAAAACACCTTTTCATACATACCTAAGGTGTTAAGTGGTTAAAAAATTGAAGTTTAGGTGTTAGATATGTAGATACATAGGAATTGAGTGGTATGTATGTAAATCTTTCTAATATAATTACTAGCAAAAATTTGTGATTAACCATGAATATGGATGTTGCTCAAAATATTTATGGTAGCCTTGAATATTGGAGTTTGATTTTGGCTTTCTAAAAGCTTAATTTTTTTGTCTTCATGATGAGTGACTTGAAATCATATTTAAATTGATTGTTTTGGACCCATGTGGCAAGAGTTATAACTCCACCTTGATAAATAGGTTCCCTTCTTCCGTTAGAAACTTGAGCCCAATGACATATTTAAATTGATTGTTTTGGACCCATGTGGCAAGAGTTATAACTCCACCTTTTCCCTTCTTCCGTTACAAACTTGAGCCCAATGGCTTATATTTGACATGAGCCATCTCATTACTAGTTTGCTCAACTCAGTTCCAAGACAGCCTCACAAATAATTTTCTCTAATATTAATTGGGTGAGGAAAGTGACTAAACGACCTTCACACCCTCCCCCCTAACAAATTAGTTGCATTGTTTCGTTTTATGTTTTCTCCCACGAGAAACATTGTGAGACGAACCTGTGAATTGAGGGAGGAGCTTAGATGTGTCCAAATGAACACCTTTATGAATCTACTCCAACACTCGAGTCCCATAGGTCTTGACCTGCTATCCCATTCAGTAAGATGTGTAATGTCAATCTAAGATGGGATTAACGGCAAGCGTTCTCTCAATCTTGGATGAAGATGGGAAACTACTTTGAGAAAGGTCTTTTATGGATTATGGTGCAGAAGAAATAAGTGTATGATGGCCTTTGCATTTTCTATTTCGTTTCAAAAAGAACTTGCAAGCTTTAAACACTATTAGGATATTGTTGAAGGTTTAATGAAGGTAGGGTATGGATAATGGGAGAGAGGATATGGTGATTGCTAGAATGAATGATAAATATTTATGGGAACTGGAATTTGATGGATGATGATCATCAAGCCTTCACTTGGTTGCATCCATTTATGGGTGATAACTAGCTATCCAAGATCACTATTAATAGAACCTCTTGGATCAGTGTGAAGCCGCACCCTACCAACCCATTATGGGAAGATGGGAGGAATCAAGCTCACACACACACACACACACACACACACACACACACACACACACACACACACACACACACACACACACACCCACACACACACACACACACACACACACACACACACACACACACACACACACACATTCTCAACCCAATGGATTGTCTTGCTTTGATAGCAAATGGCTGAGAATGGGAGTTGAACAAACAACCCAAACCTCATTTTCCACCTTTTGAAATGATAGTTCAAAAGTTAAAAAGTGATTTCTTGAAAGGAAAGAGGCTCGCTTTCACAAAGATTTGGGCAAACAAAATGTTTTACTTCACCAGCGCAAAACAACACAACCCAAATACATAAAAAATAAACAGCTACAATTCGAGATGTAGGCGATCTCTCCCAAACGCTAATTCTAAAATTCAAGACAACAATCACACATAACCTAAGCCTAAACACATCAAGCTCTATTTATATCCCATAATAAAAACTAACTAAATTGTCCTTTTAGTGTTGCGCCTAACATAAGTTTTTAAATTATTTGGTAGACTGTGTTGAGGTGTCATTCTAACATTACTCCTCTCCCAAAAAGATATATTATCCTCATGATAGAAAAGAGGAAACTCCTATTGGATCAAGTCATATCGCTCCCACTCATACAATGACTCGAGTTGGCTCTCGCTGTCAGCACTTGATTGAAATAAATGATGAATCGTTGATACTGCATGAGAAATGCGCCTAACCCGTAGCATGAGACATCTGTCTCTACAATGAATGGTTGGTTTAAATCAGGTACCACCAACACTATTACACTTATCATGGCCTTCATTAACTTCTCAAACGCCTACGACGCAGCTTCACCCATAACAGACCTTTCATGGACCATGCAAAAAACTGCTTGTGTAAATCCTCTTCCCGCATGATTCTGAAACACTCCAACCAGTCTTTGAATTATTCCTATGTTCAAATTAACTGACATCGTTCTCTTCGTTGACACCAAGCTAGAGCTTTCTCTTCCAAACATAGGGTTGTCTCCATTAATTTTTCTTCATTCATCATTCCATTAACAGCAAATTATCTCTCCACACATAAACTCAGTCATAGGCATCCTCTCCTTCAAAGATAATAGCTTTAGCTTCCTCATGCTTGAGTCTCCTCCCCAATTTCTCGACTGAATCCATTTCACCCATGAGGGGAGGTTGGGTTCCCTTTCTTGACCTATATTGCTTTTCATTCTTCCATAGGTCTGGCTCACCCCATAATCAGCTCAGCTCACCCGTCCTCATAAGCTTATGAATTGCATTTTGTCCGCCTTTCTTGACCTATATTGCTTTTCATTCTTCCATAAGTCTGGCTCACCCCATAATCAGCTCAGCTCACCCATCCTCATAAGCTTATGAATTGCATTTTGTCCTGAAGGTTGTCGTAACAAAAGGCGCTGACGCAATTGGATGTAGTACTCCATCGGAGTCCAACACAAAGTGGTTACCTGTTTCAGGTCGAAATTCTTCGAATCGATGTTCTCTAGCGTCATCCTATTATGTCTGTTGCAGCTCGTTCCAAACATCTAGATGTGCAATTCCCTCTAGATGCTACCGGTCACATTCACTTCCATCTCCACTCAATCCAGTTTGATTCCATTCATTCCAGTCGGCTGGATGTCACGCTATTCCCACCAAGTGTTATCGCTCCAGTTAGCTCCCGATTCCTTCGCTCGATCTTGTGGCTCGAAATTCGCCTAATGTAGAGATGTTGTCATGATGTCGCACGAATACTTTAGATTACTGCAGCTCGTGTCCACTCTAGACGTCATCACTCGATCCCATGATGAGCAAAAGCATGTTTACCTGAAATTCCACGATCTTCTTCATTATTTCTTCCAAAATCATGAATTTCCCATCCATGGACAAGAACAGCCCCTCCATGGACGAGAAACGCTCCTCCATTTCATCTCTGATTTAGCTCACTTTTCACTCTAATTTATCTCCAAGGCATCCGCTTTATTGGCCACCATTACTCCCAAGATTTTTCAATCACCAAGGTGAAACTCCTAAAAGTCACAATCTAGTCGTTGGCTTCCCAGCTAGCTCGTATCATGATTGTATCACGAGGTTCAGTCACAAAAGCGGCACGGCAGAGATACCTCGTACGTCACGATCCCGTCGACTTCCCAACTAGCTTGAATTGCGGTTGTATTGCAAGGTTAGGTCGTAAAGGCAATGCGACGGAGATGCCTAGAGTGATTTCATTGTTTCCTTCCCAGCTAGCTCAAATTGAGAGGTTTGGTCAGGAAGGCGATGCGATGGAGATGCGTGGAACACCGTGATCCCATCGGCTTCCTAGCTAGCTCAAATCACAACTGTTTTGAGAGTTTCGGTCATGAAAGCAAAGAAGGCCTCGCCGATTTCAAACGAAACGAGTCGGAGCAACGGACGCCAATGCAAAAGAATCTCCCATCCATGCACGAGAACAACCCCTCCATGGCCGAGAAACGCTTCTCCATTTCATATCTGACTTAGCTCACTTTTCCCTCTACTTTATCTCCAAGGCAATCACTTTCTTGGCCACCATCACTCCCAGGATGATTTTCGATCACCAAGGCGAAACTCTTGTACGTCACAATCCAGTCGTTGGCTTCCCAACTAGCTCGTATCGCGACAGTATCGTGAGGTTCAGTCACAAATGCGGCACGACAGAGATACCTCGTACGTTGCGATCCTGTGGACTTCCCAACTAGCTTGAAATGCGACTGAATCACAAGGTTAGGTCATGAAGGCGACGCGAAGGAGATGCCTTGTACGCAGTAATTTCATTGTTTCCTTCCCAGCTAGCTCGAATCGTGAGGTTTGGTCAGGAAGGCGATGTGATGGAGACGCGTGGAACATTGTGATCCCATCGACTTCCTAGCTAGCTCGAATCAAAATTGTTTTGAGAGTTTTTGCCATGAAGTAAGAAGGCGGCCTCAGCGATTTCAAACGATACGAGTCAGAGCAACGACCACAAATACAAATGAGAAAGGCGTCTAGCAAAGCCGCAGCCTCATCTGCTCTGATACCAATTTGATAGGAAAGATAATGGCTTTCACAGATATTAGAACAAACAAAATATTTTACTTTACCAACACAATACAACAGAACACAAATACATAAAGATAAACATTTACAATTTTAGAGGTAGATGAACTTTCCCAAACCCTAATCCTAAGATTTAAAATAGCAATTACATATCCCATGACCCTAAACATATTGAGTCCTATCTACACCCCATAATAATAACTAATAAATAACTAAATTGTCCCTTTAATCTTGACCTGAAATAAGTTTTCAAATTATTTGGCAAGGCGCCAGTCTAACATTTCACCAATAAATATAATTCAACTACACACTAAAGTAATGACAATAAAAGGGCCTAGCTGGGAATTATCATTAAAAAAACCTAATTTAAATTTAAGTGAGAAAGATTCATAAAGATGGGCCCAGAAAATTAATATAAGGCTAATTGTTAGTGATTAAAAAAAATCTAGCTATGTGATTTCAAAGCAAGAGCAAATTATCTGCACATATGACAAATATGAATGACTTAGCTACAACTTATCCAAAATAAAATGACTGATAATTTTATAAACCTTACCTTTTCTGCAACGGCAAAAGCAGCTTGTTCAGGGTTCATATCATGGAATGGGATTAATCCTGTCAGTAACTCCCATAGGACAATTCCAAAGCTATAGACATCAACCTTCCTTGTGTGATGTTTTTCCTTGATCATTTCTGGTGCCATCCACCTGTAAGTGCTCGTAAAGCCCTTGCCGCTGCCACACTGAGATTCTTGGCAAGAGATACCAAAATCAGCAACCATAACAGAAAAGTCTTGCCCCAGTAGTATATTTTCTGACTTGAGATCTCTATGAAGTATTCCTTGAGAATGAAGATAATCCATTCCCCGTGCAATCTCAAGGGCTAACTTTAGAACAAGCTTTAGAGGAAGAGAGAAGGGTGTCTGCTTGTGGAGAAATTTTCTAAGTGAACCACCAGCCATGTACTCTGTGATGATACAGAAAACTGGAGGTTTCTTGCATGCTGCAACGAACTGCATGACAGAAGCATAAGCTGTTAAGTAAATATTATCAAAACCAAATACTAAATTTTAAGGTTATAGTGATAGCAGTAAAATTGACATTTTTGTTGCACAAATTAACAAATAATACCAAATTTAGTAAGCAGCAGTATGAAAGTTCAATACCCTGCAAAAAACAGCTACCCCTCAAACTATAAGATTAAGACGTAGTTCAAAATCTATCCATCATGTTAAAACTCCTGTATCAAAAAAATCATATATTGAAAATTACAGGAACTTTTGGAACCACAAACCTAGTCAAAAACCCTGATGAGAAAATCAAAGATTGATGGTCAAATAGGCAAAACATAAACAACAATAGGAGATGAGATACTAAAAATAATCAATATGCTTTTACAAAATAGATGCAAAAAAAGACTTGGGGTCTGCTTGGGGTAACTGCAACTTAAAAATAAGCTTCTGAGGATAAGCTGACTATTTGTTTATTTTTTGTAATTTAAAAACAGTTGTGTTGTAGTTGTTTTTAAACAAATGATCATTCTGCATCCGAATAGTAATGTTGTTTGTAACAAATCTATTCATACCAATAAATTTTATATTTTAAAAGTAAAAATACAGTTCAGAACATTACAAAAAAATGACACCTCACTTAAATGTGAGTAGTATGATTACTATAATTAAGAAAAAAACTATTAAAATAATAATTAATAATATGATAATAATATTTTAAAATGCAGACGGCGTGTATCACGAGCTTTGTCGTCCTCCAGAGATATTCTCCATGCCTGATCATTCTCAGCAATTGAATCTTCCACCGAAAAAATATTACTGTTTTTCATGATTCTCTGCGGACACCTGAAAAACTCTCCCGTAGCTATGTGGTTGACATGAAATTAGCAGAAAACTTTGAAGTCCACACTAACAATGCAATCCTCGGGAGGTACAAGAAATCCTCGAGCTTATCTTTCCTGAATGCTTCAAAAAATATCTCATTAGAAATAGCATAATTAAAAATTAATAACTGAAGTAATTAATTATAATTTTATGCATATGTGAGGTCTCAGAAAACTTAATATATAAACCAATGAATTTGTCACTAAAAATAGACGGCAAACAATATAAAAAAATGTACATTGTTGTCTTTAACACATGTAATATCAAACTCGTGTGTGTCATACATATCACCAAAAAAGACTATTCATAAGAACCAAAAAAAAATTGTAAAACAAAAAAAGAGAAGAATTTGGTTGTCTTTATTAGGATTGCATATGTGACACCAACCAATAGCAATAAACAGTCAACTAAAAGAACCTATAAGATCAAACATCTCATCATAGGCCTCCAAAACCCACAAAAAAAAATGCAAAAGGTAAAAAGACACTTACGAATAGCGTAAAAACCAAAATAGTCGATACCAAATACACAAGAAATGGAGAAAAACATGAACTGCATAAAATACTAATACAATAAACAGTGAATCTATTCAACAACCATTACGATTAATAATATAATAAAAACTTCAATCACCCTTCAACTATCGCATCTGTAATTTGTTTCATCACCTCTGTCATTCGCTTGCACCTTCTCCATCTTTAGTATAGGTCTCGGGAACAACATTTTCGGTCTGTGACAAAAACTGTCCAAGACAGTACTAATGTCTCGACAGAGACATGTTCATGATCTTTATTCGCTCTACGGAAGTCGATGTCGTTGCATATCGCATCTGTAATTTGTTTCATCACCTCTGTCATCTCGCTTGCACCTTCTCCATCTTTAGTACAGATCTCGGGAACAACATTTTCGGTCTGTGACAAAGACTGTCCAAGACAGTACTTATATGTCTCGACAGAGACATGTTCATGATCTCTATTCGCTCTACGGAAGTCGATGTCGTTGCGAGAAGGATGTCGTCAAATATAATTATGGAGAGTCATCGTAGCAATCATAACCTGCACCTATTTTGGAAATGGACTAAGAAGGCATATCGCGAAGTATAACATATTTTTGCTTTCAAACACTAAAAGTCATCGCAATAACACCGCGTAACGATGAATGTCTTTTGTTAAACATTTTTTTCATGTTTCGCGTGACATTACTGGCTCACTCAAATGCATGTATGTGGTATCTCAAATCAGAATAGGGCTTGAGATACCCTCGTTGCAACGGATACCCAACATCAACTAAATAGTATTTACTTGATATGAATTGAATGATTAGTGTTGAATGAAAAAAGAATTAGGAGAGTAGCTCAATCTCAAACAAACTTGTGGGTGGATGTGGGAAGTTATATTTGTTATTCTGTATTCAAGATTTGAAAATTCGACTATCATGTGCACTGTCCTCTCCACCAGTTATGACAAAAGTAAAGCGCATGTTAAAGTCTCATACCATCATGATATCATGCATCGGTGACCCACAATGGCTGATAAATGTGATCTTCACATTATTTGGAACATGTGCATCAACGTGTGTTCCATCGATTGCTCTAATACAATTCTAGAAAGATAACGAAGGGTTACATAATCACGATATTTATATGAAAAGTAAATATAACAAATAGAAGAAATTACCTTAAAGTATGACATACACCGCGAATCGTGTGAAATCTCTGCAGCCATTCGAATGTAGGATCTGTTGGTTTTATGACTTGTGAGGAAAAACTTACAAGTGCATTCAGCTCTACTGAGAAGTATATGCAAATCATTTCAGAGTGTAGAAATCACTTCATAGCTCCTCGCAATAATTCATACTGCGATAATATGCAGAGGGTTATTGTCAACATCTCTCACGAAGTCATTCTGGATGAGTCATGAACTTCATGATTTCTGTGTAGTTCCTCCAACAAATCAGTGAATATTGTTTGTGTCATGCGAAACATATTATTAAATCTCATTGGGTGACCCGCAAGCAAATCTCTAGACTATTTGTCGCCAACATATGAGGATGTCATGCAAGGGGAGCGTTCTATGTATAAGTTATAATACTCGTATAAAAAGCATACGATGGCTGCAACTCTCCTACTATGTATTTCTCTAATTGCATCCATGTAGTTTGGTATCAAAGTGGCTCACACATAAACATCAATGAATTAACTACAATCATATAAAGTTACGATCAAAACTAACAAAAGCAAATAACATTAAAGAAATAAATAAAAAAACATAACGATGAATGAAAAACTCTCAAGTAAAGCGGCATGTCCAAAGCAGTTTAAATATCCAAAGCATCATGAAAAACTATAAACAAATAGAAATGTCTTACGCGAATCAAATTATAAAAAATGTCCCTTAAACGTCACTGTTCACAAAAAATAACATAGGTAAACCACCCTACGGTCAGCGGGCATCACTATGAAAAACTCTCTTCAAACAATTTCATAAAGAAAAAGTACAAGGGCATTTCCTCTGAAATTTCTAGAGTTACATCCAAAATTTGCACAACCTGCTGGGCAAAATTTGCTTACGATGTGTCAGGATCATTGGTGCATGAAGCCACCAACTGTGAGTTTTGGCTTTTAAGAAAAGTAGCTCCAGTTTTCTTTTTATTTTCAACCCGGGGATGCTTAGACCGAATCGCGGACTCAAATTCATGGAGCTTCGGGCAGGATTATTTAATGAAATAACCTGTTTGGACAACTCTCAAATTTTCAGTGATGTCACCAAACCCCGTCCCGCTGAGGGCAAATGCATTGTTGTCCATTGTTACGATGCCCCCAAACATACGATTCAACTTCTCCAACTCAAGATTGATTATATTGTATTAAAATTTATTTGCAGCAGAAACTACCTACAAATTCATATAACATGGAGTTAAATTTAAAAATAAATTAAAAACTAACAAAAATTTGGGACATTTCAAAAAAAACTCACTGTCAGTCTCTCTGTCCACCACTCTTCGAAAGCATCAATTATTCGTTTTATCGGATCCCACCCCAAGCCTATTGATCCTCACTTCAATTTCTTCCAGATTTTCTAATCCTTCTTTAGTTAATCCCACTTATTTTTTAACATCCTATTATACTATCTGTCTGTATTTTTATTTAATTTTCTAATAGTACTTTATCATCGTTTCTTGTTGAAATAGGTTCTCGACCCATTTCCCAGATCGACCTCATTAAGGCAAAGGTTGCAAAAAAATAATTTTGTCTCTTTATCACACATTGCAGATGAACCAACCTCTTTTGTCTTAACTATTGTATTAGTAGACTGAATAAAAAAACTAATTAACATGAATATGAATGTCACAATACCGAAAATCAAAGAAAAATAGAAATGTCACAATATAATCACCAACACCTCCACAAACCGGCACATCAAGACACAAAAACATCCACCACACTACAAGCACCACCTCCACACAAACACAACCCAAACAGACACCACCACCTCCACACAGACACCACCAGACACGACACAGACACCACCAGACACCATAAAGACACCAACACCTCCACCACACACCACCATAACCACACCAACACCTCCACACATTGGCACATCAAAACACCAACACATCTACCACACCACCATCACACACCAACACCTCCACATAAACAGAACCACACACTAACCACCATATCCACAAACACACACCATCTCTACACAGACACCACCACCTCCACACAACACCACACAAACACCACCACCTCCACCAGACACCACCACCTCCACACTAACACCTTCACATACCGGCACATCAAGGCACCAACATGCCCACCACACCACCACCACCACACCACCTACACACGAACACAACCACACACTAACCACCACCTCTACAACCACACACCACCACCTCCACACAGACACCACCACCTACACACCACACAAATAGGGGAAGCCACAAAAGAAGGCCAAAGCAATATTAAGAAATCAAAGGGCATAACAACAGACCTCCAAGTCCTTCATATGCTATTAACATCTACTTTATGAGTTTTATCAAAAACATACACAACACCTGAAATATTGCAATTGACAAATGCAACACTATATTTCTTCCATTTCTCCATTCCTTACTATCATGAGAAAATCAATGATAAAATCTCAACTCGTATTTAAAACATACACAGCACCTGAAATATTGCTATTAACAAATCCAACACCATCTTTTATCCATTTTTCAAATTCTCATTCAAATATCCAAATTCACGATAAAATCACAACCCATATTCAAAACATACACCGAACCTAAAATATTGCTATTAACAAATCCAGCACCAACTTTCATTCATTTTTCAAATTCCCACTCAAATATTAAAATTTATGATAAAATCTCTACCCATATTTTTCATTAGCAACTCTAGCACTAGAAACCAAATAGGGCAAAGCCACCATGAAACAGTTTTTCGAGAGTAATGTATGTAATTCTCCCAAAACAAAAAAGAAAGTGTAAGCCACAAACCATACAGAGCAAAGATATCGAGTATCACTGCTTAGGGTGCTAGGTATGTAGTTATCCCAATAAAACAAAACAAACAAATCAAATCCACAAGCCAAACAGACCAAAGCCACTTGGCATCCGAAACATGGCTAACAACAAATCAAGCACCATCTTTCAGCCACTTTCAGCCATTTCTCAAAATCTCACTCAAACATCAAAGATAAAGATAAAGTCTTTTTCAAAATTTTTCATTTTTAGGATACCACATACAGGGCACCGAAAAATTGCTAACAGCAAATCAAGCACTCTCTTTCAGCCATTTCTCAAACTCTCACTCAAACATCAAAGGTAAAGATAAAACCTCATTCCATATTTTTTATTTTTAAGATACCACAAACAAGAGCACCCGAAACATTGCTAATAACAACAAATCAAGCATCCTATTTCAATCATTTCCCAAACTCTCACACAAACATCAAAGGTAAAGATAAAGCCCCATTCCATATTTTTAGCACCCTATTTCATCCATTTCTCAAATTTTGATACAAATATCAAAATTCTTGATAAAATTTCAATCCATATTCATAAAATACATAGCAGTCGAAAGATTGCTATTTCAAAATCCAACACCAACTTGTATGCATTTCTCAAACTCCCACTCAAATATCAAAATCATACCGAGTAGAGCAAAACAAAAGTCATCCTTTGAGGTTATAGGTATGTATTATACCAATAAAACCAAAAGCAACACAGCAAATCCACAAATCGAACAAACCAAAACCCAACTGAAATCGCAAAGCACAAAGCTTCAAAATCATAAACCAAATCTATCATGGATGCAACATGAAGTATCAAAATCATCAACCGAGTATATCAAACCGAATCATCAAACCGAGCAAACAGAGAAATTAAGGAGAGGAAACCAACAACCAAACTAAGACCTATTGCACAGTAGCATTTGCATAATCATAAAGCCACCAAATGGATAAAGCAAAGATTATCAAAACAGAGGGAAGAGGTAGAAGGGAAACTACAGCACAGAACCCAGAGCGCATAATGCGCACACCCACCGAACTGAGCCGAAGAAGATAAGGGACAAGGAAAGAAAGAATAGAAAGCTTACCGCAATAACCCCCAACCGAAGAAGGGGAACCACCGCATAGAGCACAGAGTGCACAGAACCACCAAATCAAGAAGAAGAAAAGAGAGGAGAGGGAGAAGTATATAAACGTCACTGGAACAACCACTCACAACCAACAAGAGGCAACCGGAAACAACGCCTGGCCACCGGAGCCACGGATTCAAGAGAGAAGGGTAGATATTGCAGAAGAAACGCAAGAGAGGGAGCCAAAAGGTCGAGAAGGGCAGAAGAAACGCGAGAGAGGGAGCCAGAGGCCGCGGGGTAAAATGCACACGAAAAAACGCAGACCGCGGGATCAAACCCGTGATTGCATTTTACATAAATTATTTACCAACATTGTCGCGTCGTTGTTTCCAAACGTCTGAAGTCGCGTTCCAAAACACACTGTGCAACAAAAAAATACCCAAACGGGCCCTTGAAAGTGTGACACAGCTGTGATAAAAAGGAATGATTCATAATACTTTAGGCACACCATCAATAAAAAAGGAGAATGTTTCACCCCAAGGAAAATAAAAGAAATCTGTATATTTTAAGAACTATTAAAACAATAAAAAATAACGAACTTGTATGTTTTAGTCACCTGAAGCTTATCCCAAATAAATCGAGTAGGCCTCTACATGTATTAAATTGATGAAACAGAGAATCATGTTTCCCATAAGGTGCTTGCACCTTGCAGTAACTACTGAAATTTAGTATTTAGGAATCTCCAAGGTTTTAATCACAAAAAAGGAGGTCAAATAGAACTTGGATATAAAGTTGCACAAATATATTTTACTAAACAATGCAAATTACCCTGAAATTATGATTCAAACTGAAGCCTTAATCACATGTATAACAAGCCAACTGGTTCAGCTCCATGGTGCCTTGCTCTGCACATTCATGCAAAATATAGATACTATGGATTCATTAAAACGATTATAAAAGTAACTTAACATGAATATGAAGAAACATTGCCGCTTCACTGCAAAATAACCAAGAAGACACTTGCAGATTTCAAGCCAAGTACCAAGCAACTAAAATAGAACCTAAAGCAGCATCGTTTCAACACAAGCATGACACAACTCTTTACAGCAAAATCCAAATAAAAACTATTCGACAAAGAAAGATTTTAAGAGTTTAACGTTATCATATTAGAATGCTGGAATCGAAGCAGAAATGTCACGCCAGAAATTATTCAAAAAAGAGAGATTTTAAGAGTTTACCGAGATTATATTAGGATGTCGGAGTCGAAACAGCAATGCGACCTCCGAGTTGAACTGCTGCTCAAGAGCAGTAGCCATGTTTTCGTCCTCCTCCGGTTGACTGATCAGCTTGACGGCCACCTCTTTCTGCTTGTAAATCCCATGGTAAACCCTGCTGTGTCGTCCCGCCGCAAACTTATTCCCGATAAGAAGTTGCGACATGTCGGCGCTCCATTCCTCCTCTCCCCCGTCTTTTATCTCCCCACCAAAAGACACCAAGTACTTGGACCAAGACAAAGTCTTTCGGTAGCGGTACCCCCCAAGAGAGAGCCTCCCCGCGGGAATGCCGCGAGAACTGCGGCTCGAGGTCGGTCGAAAGCAGTTGACACTCTTCATATCACGAACGCCAACACCATTAAATCTTTCACCCAAGAAGAGAAACCGAAAGAACGCAATTGTCGAAAGCTTGCAGGGCCAAAATCAAACTTAACCACTCAACATTTCAAAAATGCAGAAAATCACGGCACGGGACACCTAGGGTATCGAAGGCCTCTGCGTGATACTAGATCGGAGTAGCGCTAGCTTCAAGACTAGAAAACTTGTCAAGCAGCTCGCAGTAAATACGACGAAGCTCAAGGGGAGATCTTCATTTGTCTCCCAGGCTCTGGTCGAGCAAAAGCGAAGAATAAGGAGACGAAGGAGAGAGAAAATGCATGCCTGAGATGGCAAGAATATTCATCCTTAAAAGCGTTTTCCGAGTAATGAGACGAAAGAGGATCATCCAAATCTAGGGTTTGGAACTAACGTGATCGGAATGGAGGTGGAAAAAGAACAGCAGCAGCTGAATGGCGGAGGTGGTGGTGGCGGTTCATCGAAGAACATGGGATCATTCCATTACAGCAGACAAGAGGATGTGTTCCTGAATGAGACCCTTTTCTGATCTACCGGAAATACCCCTACTTAGGAGCCTTTTTTATCTGAAATGGACGCCTGCGCTCTGATCGCTATCTATCTGCTTGCATGGTAAGAGAAAGCAGACCATAAGCGTTGGTTTTTTTTAATTTATTTATTGTAGCTTTAAATAAAATTAAAAATACATATAAATGAGAAGTATGAGGGTTAAGCAAATGAAATTCATAAAACTTTTGTTTTGTAAGAAATTGAGAAAACCAGTCGTTCAAAATCACTTGTCGGAGTTAAGAGTGCACTCGTAGGTTCTCCGAAGAGCTCACGTCTGCAAGAATGATTTGAGTGTCGCCACAAATGGATTTAACGTTTATCTAAGTGTGACAAGCATGAACGAATGTCAAGACTTAAAACTATATACTACAAGTGAGTGCTCTAAATGAAAATGACCTTGAACATGAAAAATAATGAGCTCATAACCAACAAACAACTTGTAGAAATAGAAAATAAAATCACAAAAAATATCCAAAGAGCTTTACAGTGTGCTTTTGAAAAAGTCCTAATGCAAAATACATCCTAGAGCTCTTTGAATTCAATCATACAAAAGTATACCTTAAGGACTATAGTGTTAATTTCCACGCCCATTATAAGCTAGTCTTACTACCCTACCCTAACAATTGTATGGTGTTCACTCGCATGCCCAAGAGAGCCAAAAGATAGAGATCCTAGCGAACAAAGTCATTCTTTCTGATGATCATTTGTCCATGAGAAAGGGAAATTCATCTCGCTCGTATTCATTGTTTTTACTTTATATTATAATGCACCATAAACAAGCAATGTAGCATACTTTTTTAGGAGTCCAACAAATGTCCAATGTAAGGGATGGAGAATTTGATCTCAACAACTTAGGGGACTCCCCTCTCCTTCTACATCACATTCAAAAAATTTGTCTTCTCTGTAAAAATATTCCCACAAAGCACACCACTTCTTGATGAGTTTAATAAGGTTCATTTAAAAAATATAACAAAGGTTGAATAAGAAATTGATCTTGACTCATGAGCCCAAATTTGAGTTAGCCAACCTTGAATTTAGGCAACTGTTAAGGTTATTATTATTAAGACTTCAATATAAAAGAAGAGTACTTGATTAAGTAAACTAATTTAAACTCAATGATCAGAATAATCTTAGCTATTGATCAAGTCTATAAACTACATTGGTACTCTAAAAAAAAAATACCCCAAGTTGGGGTTAGCTTTTTTATTTCATTACATTTACTTCATAACTTGAAACTTTCTCAAAAGTTAACTGATATGCAATGCCTTTACATAGCAAAAAGTTTTTTTCTAGAAAAGAAATTTGTTTACTTGATTATAAACTTGTTCAGGAATCAATGTAACTTACCCAACAAGTCATAAATGTTAAGCCTCAACTCTTTGCATACACTCTCAAAGGTTTAGCCTTAAAATTCAACACCTCCATTTTTTGTTCACTAGTATAGATCATTATCTTCATGAAGAACTAGTTTTGACAAAAGAGGAGACTCATCTAATTTGATAACTCATAAAAAGAAAAAATTAAAAGAGAACAATCGAGGATAAGAATCTTTATGATTCAAATATGTATGCACCATAACATTCAAAACTTAATAAGTTTAAAACTTAGCTGAACAGACTTGAAATTCACTTTACTCAATAGGATATCAAATCTAAAAGGGAGACATAAGAATAATGCTAACATAAATGATTGGTTAAACCAGTGCCAACTTTGATATGACAACTTATCTGGATAGCAAATTTATTAGAATTCTTATGCTGCTACTAACATAACATAATTATAATTCTCTTTAAAGTATTGACAAATTACTCTTCATAGATACAAAGAATTTGATAAGTATATAATTAGAGGCAAATCTGAAGCAGCTATGTTAACCCACCCAATCTAAATCACTTATCTGAACTAAAAAAGCATATATATATATTTCAAAAGGATGATACTCAGAAGGCATTCGCCCAACTCATAACACTCTCACCTAGTTTCAAAGACCTCACCCAACTCAGGAAACACTCATTTATTCAATGATAATGGCTACATTTCTCTAACCATTATGATCTTTAAGGAACGCGCCAAGATAATAAACCACATGTATTATAATCACTATGTCCATTTGTCTATATCCGCATGAATATTATTCCATTAGACAAGTTAATTGGATGTGATTTTTTTGATTTATAGTTGTGATATTAAACAAATCAAGAGTGTAAAAAATGCAAAAAAAAACATTCGACAAAGAGGAACGACAAATGTGAAAATATGAAGTCAAAAGGAAATTCACTTTAAACACTATCAATGTGCTGCTCAAATGATTCATGGATAGTTTTTTAATGTAAGCAAAACCCGTTGGATTAAGAGTATTCTTAGGCAGCCCAAAGATGTAATTAACCAAGTGGGATACGTTCCCTTAAGAGAACAGTAGACCCCATAATAAACAAACACACCTGAATATCTTGTTGTGAGTAGTTTATGTAAGTATTCTTTTGTGAATATTGGTCCAAGGTTCTTCCTTCTGTCCTTGTTTGGGCGGATAAACTTGACCTATCATTGCAAGGTTTATCTCACGTTGGCTCTCGACGTTCTTTCTCTTGTTTGTTGTTTTTGTCGTTTGTTCATCTTTTTTGGTTCCTCTCTCTTCTTGATAATTCAGTTGATCTGGAAGAGAGACTTATTCAAAAAATTGAAGTATATGATGATGGACAAACTGGCAACTCCTTTAAAAAATAAAAAAGAGAAAGGAACGAAAACGCTAACAATGAAGAATGGACATGTTGAATCCTAAATTGTATTCCATGAGCACACCCCAAGAGTTAGAGCTGAGAGAGAAAGAGAGATAGAGTTGAGAGAGAGAGAGAGAAAATTATGTCTTTATTTAATGTCTGACCTCCTACTTATAGGGTTCTCAAAATACAGTTACATAAAAAAGATGGAACTATTATCGTAACTGCCTAAATAACTGAATTGATGTGCCCGTCTAATGAAAAATACATTATTATAAAAAAGAAATAAGATGGTTGTCAATCGACTGTTCTCTCAGTGTCGAACGGCACTATTGACCAATAATTAGATCGCTTCTGCGGAAGATTCTAGTCGACAAGTGTAGTTGCCATACCAACTCCGAATGAGGTCGCTCAACCGATCAAAGTCGACCGATTTTGTTGTGCAATCGACAACTAGTTCCGTCAGCATCTCGTACTTCGGCACGGAACTTCAGTCTCCCGAAACTCCATCTCAGTTGTTCAATCCTTTAAGATTCGTGTTGGCATTTTTGTAGTATACAGAACATACATTGGATATTGAATGAAATATTTTAAATTAAAAAATATCATTTATTGGATTTTATTTTAAATTCAAAACTATCATGTATTCAACTTTTCTCTGAAAATTATCATGTCTTTTGCCTAAAAAAAACCCTGGCCTACATTTAAAAATTTATGCACTTCCTCTTATTATCTCTTTAGATGATACTCTTTCTTCACTTCTCACTAACTTGAATCTCGTAATGGCGAATGTGATTAAGAAGAGTTTCAAGTTTTTTTATGGAGAGCAAGTACACTTAGCTATTTAATGTGATAACTTCAAGGGGTAAGATTTTATAAATGCTTTATATTTATGATTATTCTCTTACAACTCAAACTTTGAATGCTGGTGAGTTTTTAAATGCTATCTTAAATGAAGTGTTTTGCAATTATAAGGATCATTTTCTACATAGATTATAATTTCTACTCTACTAGAAGTTGGTGGATGTAATGAACTTGTTATGTAATCATTCCACATTAAGGGTGTGTTTGTAGTGTAGTGTCGCATCGTAATTTTTTTTTGTTTGACAAAATTGTGTATCGTCTACATTTTCAAAAGTTACAGTTAAAAGTTGTATTTTCCGACCAGACCTGATTATCTACGATGGCTTTCAAAAAGCCACAGTCTGACTTTCTCAAAGAAAAAATTTGTAATAACTATTACAGCTTTATGAACTGCAGCTTCTTCTTCAACAGCTTCGCAGCTGCTTCTTCAAACAGTTGCAGTGTCACAAAGAAACCCTGAATCTTGTTTAATTCATTCACGAGTATACTTTATTTGGTCATTCATTTATATGAAAGGAAAATTCATAAGAGTATTACTTTTTTCCATCAATATTTAAAAATAATAGATTTAAAAATTGTTGTATTTATTTTTTTCAAATTATATTAAGTGACGAGGCTAGAAAATAAAAAAAAGAACTAAAAAATGAATAAATTTTGTTGTATTAAACCAATTAAAATGAAGTGCATGCCATTTGAAGGGTGTATTTAGTTTATCAAATTAGAAAGAGGTTGAGAAAGCAAGCTTTCCTCAACTAAGAAAAAATTTGTTTGAATGTGAATTTATACCTTGATGCTTAAATCGTCAAGAAGCTTTTGCTTGTAAGTATTCTGCTTTGGTTTCTTCAATTAATCTTT